GAAATCATCTCATTTGGATCATCCATCTATTTTATATGAATTTCACAAAACTGTAAATTAATCCCAGATACAGTATAAACAGCCTCAAAAGCACACTGTTTTGAGCTACTTAGAGTCATAACTGGAATTTTGACCCTTAATGAAAGTTGTAGTATGCATGATCTTCCTGACTGCAAAATACGAGCTTAATCCGACTTACGGTTTGTGAGTTATACACTGTCAAAGTACGGGAGTTACATTGTCGGTAAAATTCGATTCCGTAATTCTCGACTAACTTTTATGATCCAACTTTCATGATTTGCTATATTTACATGCTATAAACGTACTTCAACAAACTAAACAGTAAAACAAGTCCAATGGTTGCTAACCTAAGCTTAATCATACATTTTTACTACTTTCAACATTTAACCAAACAATTGGTGTACGGTTAAACATATACCCACAATCTAACTATAATGAAACTATAATATATCATTTTCATTTGTACATCAATATAACCAGTCCTAGCATTCTAAATATCAAATATATCATGATTTTGACAAAATCAATCCGTAAACTTAGATATAAACACAGTTTATAAACCGGTCTAAATAACCCTACAATAAACACCTTAATGAAACTGAATGAAACTTATACCTTTAAGAAGGGTTCGTAGAGTGGATTCCGAATATATAATTATTGTCTCGATCTCCTTAGTAACTTGACGTGAAATTTGAAGAGAAAATGAAATATCTAAAGAGAAAGAACTTGAGAAAGAAAGAAAAAAAACGGAAACTGAGACGGTGATTTCACCGCTCATCCATACACACATATATATATTTTTTATTTTTTTATTTTTAATTATATATATATATATATATAGTTTAATCGTTTGACGGTTTAACCCTTCAAGTTTATATTCTCAACTTTACGTCAAATTAGGTATAAACTCAACTTTTGACATAAAACTGGTCTGAGATACAAGTTGGTATAACATAGGGTACAACTATGTTATGCATAATTCTACCAAAAATTTACTTAACCCAATTTGTACGAGTTAACGAAACCTGAATATTATATAACACATCATCCAACGGGTATATATACATATAACACATACAACATCGTGTAAACATATGTATATTACACGGGTCGACGGATATATATATTTATACACATGCACATGTGTACATACACATCGCATTTAGCAACCAAAACATATCTATACAAATAACACAAATACATTTATATATATGACACCTACACATAAAAATGTGTACATATAACACATAAAAAATGAGAAAATAAGAAAAATAGGATAATCCATCGTTGATTAGTGAGGGATTGGCACTTCCATTATGCTGCTGAGGGATTGGTCTGCCATTGTTGGGCAGACGTTAGACTAGGTATATAGGTTGAGAATGTGACTACCATTAGTATTATTAGAATGTTTTAATTGTTAAAAATATGCGTTAGATATGTTTGATTTACAGTCATTATGCTGCTAAAATTTCTACATATATAAGCTCACTCATTTTTGTTTTGGTGAACCATATGAACGATTTCAATCGCTTAGGGGTGAGTCACAGTCTAGTACCAACAGCCCTCCCCTGATGAGGCATCTCTTTGGGAGCAGAGTGTCGGAGGACGGAGGAAGGGCCACATTTTTTTGTTTCGGGACTTCCTAGGATCCCTCTTATGCTATGACGAGTAGATGTAGCAGTAGCACGAGGAAATCATACGAGTCAACAGTGGGGTATGTTGGTTATATCGTTATATACTTTCTCATTACTAAAATTGCGAACAAATTACTGATTTTGTCGAATATTGAATATATTTACAAGTAACGACGTTGAGAGAGAAGTTGGCAAGGTAGAGGAGGAACTAGAGACCGAACGAAAGAACAGGGCAGATTTGGAGGCCAGACAAACTGCCTCGTTAGCCGATTAGTCGAACAGGCCAGACAAGTTGCTTTAGCCGAACAAGCCGCCTTATCAAAACATTTTGTTGCGTTTATGCGGCAATCATGATACATATTCTCCCCTCCCCCACTTCCCTCTAGTTAAATTATATTAATTTGAACATTAAATTGTATGAATTGGATAGTTTTAAATCGTATAAATTGGTTAGTTTTAATTTGTTCACAGTTTTGGTTTGTTATATTATGGTCAGGTTTTGTATAAATAAATATAGAAATTATGTAATTATAAAAAAATTATTTTTAGATTAATACAAATTAACGACGAATTAGCGAGGGAAAATCCGTCGCTGAAAGTCCTTCCCTATCTCTCGTTGATCCGTCGCTGAAAGTCCCTCCTTATCTCTCGTTGATCCGTCGCTGAAAGTTCCTTCGTTGAAAGTAACCCTCGCAAATCTGTCGCTGATAGGCATTACCTACGAGCTTTTGTCCGACGGACTATCAGCGACGGAAGACCCTTTTAGCGATGGATTTGCGAGGGAATTTTCCCCCCTTCATTTTTATAGTGCATGGAGGGCCTTCGCAAGGATGTTTCTTGCCCTGTTGATTCTCATCCTCATGTGTTTTCATATATATCATCCTCGTGGGATTCGATGTCCACTACTTCATCATAATAACCAGTTTCATAAATACAAGCTACCACCCAAAACCCCAAACCATTTTACTATCACTAAATGTTTAAGTGTTTACTGATTAAACGTTTAGGTAAACGGTCTCTAAGTATGGCCTTGAATTTACTATAACTGAATGATGTTTATTTACATATTGTTACATCATGCTGCATTGCACGGGTATACAACTAGTTACTTAAAATTCAAGATTAGAAGTAAATTGTGCGTAAGGTATAACTTATTAAAAACCTCTATGTTTGAATTCATGTAACTAACTGAAAACAAACATAATCAAATACATGATAAATATTTAATTTTAAATATAAAAAATCTAAAATATAAGTAGGATAATCATTAAGTTCTAACAAAATACTTAATTATTATATTTATAAAAACTTATATTATTAAATTAAAAATTACTTAGTTATAAACCTAGATTAAATTATAGTTAAAGAATTATTACAAAAAACAAGAACTTTTAAATAATTAATTTGATATTAATATCGATATATATCATTTTCTCTTTCTCATTAAATTATTTAAGAGATAAAATTATATAATTAATATGTTAAAATTATAAAACTATACATGTCACCGAACAACCACCACTTATCCCTGAATATCATATCCGATGACAAGATAACATGCAATAACAACATGCGTGTATTTTTATTTTTATAATTGTTGGTGTTTTAACGAATTTCCAAATGATTTGGTGTATGGATTCACATAAGAATGAAGGAATGCTTTGTCGAGGTAAAAT